GGGGGGGGGGGGGAGCTGATGAAACCTGTTAGCTTATGATTTTGAAGAAGGTAGTTACTATTGTTTGTATACTAGTCATTTCAAAATTATTTACTTCACTCTTATAGCAGTTTAATGTTGAGAATAGTTAACATCCGGTTAAGAACGCATCCCATATACCGGTGGATCACAAGGTTTGGAATTGGGGGCAGATATACGGCAATCACCCAAAAGGCACCACTAAACTTACCATTTTAACTTTTATAGGAGAAAGCATGTGAAAGACTCTTTCTTCGAGAAAAGGAGAAAATGGATTTTGGTGGTAATAGTTTTGGTGGTTGTCTTGCTCTCTGAATTTTCATCCAATGTGCAACCAACATTGTTGATTCTTTAATTTTAATTACAGGATTCACCATTTCGTCATTTCTTTTCCATGCTTGTCTTTACATGACAAAGCATCACTTGAATGCAATTGCATCACAGACTAGTTTGAGATGTGATGCAATGTTAAAGTTCAGTTTTCTGTTCTACATGAGAACCATTTACTGGTGGATGTGTTGTTGTTCCCTATGATGATAGTTTCATGAGGACTGGCTAAACGATCAAAGTGACAATGGATTTAGGAGGAGATCCAAAGAAGGAGATCTAGAAGGAAAGAACGAAAAAAATTGATACTGACTGATCTTTTCCTCAAGATTCGCTGGTGATTCACTACAATTATCTGGAGGGATTTGTAGAAGTGTTGTACCCAAGTACGTGTATATAACATTAAAAATATCATTTGCACTGTACTGGTTGGTCTGAACTTTATCAAGGAATAAGAAAAAAGCTTGCACACATGACTACAGGACTGCTCAGGATGGTAGCAAACCGCAAGATAATTTCCTGGTGATTTTTTGTTTACCAATGATGCAAATTGAGGAATGTATTTCCTACGCCAATATATAAATTATGACCCAATATATAAATTATGCTTATGAAGAAATGCTACTCTCTCTCTTCTTTCCTCTTTGCTTATGTCACTGAAGTCTCCATCTCCAGTTCAAGGGCCATTACAGAATACTAATCAACCTTTAATCTGGTAAACTTCGAGGTGATACTAAAGGATTAAATAATTGGACAAAACTATTGCTGAAATATATGATAATAGCAAATAAACAATAAAAAACAAAATCTGCCGCTCTGAGTTATAGACCAGTAACCCAAGCTAGGTTCGTATGTGTACTACGACTTCTCGACCTGCTTGCATGTTTCCATCACAGGTTGAACCAAAACTCATGGTCCACGAGTCGGCAAC